AAAATTTATTGCATGGTGTTAAAAGTTGCAAGCTCGATTTTTGAAAGTTTCGTGTTCATGGTACACAGACTAGAGTTAGTTTCACGACTGGAAAGCACAAAACTGAAGGGATTCTTGATTATGTGCATTCTGATATATCCACCTACCAGAAAATCATCATTGGGTGGATCTATGTATTATGTTACTTTTATTGACAATTTTTTCTATAAAAGTTTGGGTGTATTTCTTGAAACAGAAATCTGAAGTTTTTACCAAGTTCAAGCTATAGAAACCTGAGGTGGATAACCAAACTGATAAAAAGGTCAAGTATTTGAGGACTGATAATTGCACAAAGTACACTGATTCACAGTTTCTAAAATTCTGTGAAGAAGATGGGATTCAGAGGCATTTTACAGTGTGCAAGACACTACAACAAAATGGTGTTGTAGAAATGATGAACATGTCATTGAATGAACGGGCAAGATGTTTGAGACTGAATACAAGGCTTCCTAAAAGCTTCTGAGCAGAGGTTGTGAGCGTGGCATGCTACCTCAGTAACATATCACCAAGGGCATCATTGGGTGGCAAGGTTGCAGAAGAGGTCTGGACAGGTAATGCAGTTGATTTTGGTCACTTACAAATTTTTGGTTGTCCTCCTTATATGCATGTTCCTGGTGATGAGAGATCAAAATTTGATGCAAAGTCGAAAAAGTGCATCTTTCTAGGATACTAGAAAGGTGTCAAAGCATACAAGTTTTGGGATCCGATTACAAAGAAAGTGGTGATCAGTAGAGATGTAGTCTTTGATAAGCAGTTCATGTTGCAGCAGAACCAAGACAATGCACTAATAGATTTAGAACAATATCCAGTAGCAACTGAGAGAGAGGAAAGTTTTAATCCAACTTTTGGTGGTTCTAGTACAATTGATTTGCATGATTATAATTTATCCAGAGACAGAGAGAAACACACAAATATAAAGGCTCCAAACATATTGGGTTTTGAAGACATGGTCTCATTTGCACTTCATATTAGTAGTGATGATCCAACTACTTTCCAAGGGGCTATTACTAGTCAGGAGAAAGGGAAATGGATGGTTGCAATGGTTGAGGAGATAGAGTCTTTACAGAAAAATCATATGGGAGATGGTTCGACTTCCTGAGGGAAATAAGGTTGTTGGTTGCAAATGGGGTATAAAAGGAAACTAGCAGTATCAGAAAAAAAAAGAAGGAAAAATTCAAGGCTCGATTGGTAGCAAAGAGTTTTTCATAGCAGAATGAAGTAGATTATGATGAAATTTTTTCTCCTGTGGTTAGGTATACTTCAATCAGGGCAATACTTACATTAGTAGCTAGTTGGGATTTGAATTTAGAGGAGATGGATGTTAAAACTGCATATTTGCTTGGTGATTTAGAATAACATATTTATATGCAGCATCCAGAAGGGTTCACTCAACCTGGACATGAGCATTTGGTTTGTAGGTCGAAGAAATCTTTATATATGTTGAAACAGTCTCCAAGACAATGGTATAAACGGTTCAACTCCTATATGATTAAGATTGGCTACAAACGATGTGAGTATGATTGTTGTGTTTATGTTAAGAACCTTGATGATGATTCTTTTATTTTTCAACTACTATATGTTGATGATATGTCGATTGCTACAAAGAATATGCATGATGTTGGGTTTGAAAGCTTTATTGAGCCATGAATTTTATATGAAAGACTTAGATGCTGCAGAGAAAATTCTTGGAATGGAGATTCAGAGGGATAGAGGCTCAAGGAAACTGTGGTTATCTCAGCAAGGCTATGTTGAGAAATTGTTAGACAAGTTTGGGATAAGCAATGTAAAGCCAATAAGCACTTCATTGGCAAATCATTTTAAGTTTTCTTCAGAAAAGTGTCATAAGACAGATAAGGAAGTTGTAGACATGGCAAAGGTTTCATATGCCAGTGTTGTTGGTTGCTTGACGTATGCAATGATATGTACTCGCCCTGATTTAGCTCATGCTATTATTTAAGTTTGTAAATACATGTCTAAACCAGGTAGGCGATATTGGGAAGCAATCAAGTGGATTTTCAGGTATTTTAAGGGCATTGTAGGGAATAGAATTATTTTTGGTAATCAGTGGGATAATCCTTTGGTTGTAAGATATGTGGATTCAAACTATGCAGATGATTTGGATGATAGAAGATCTACAACTGGGTATGTTTTTACTCTTGGTGAGGGCTATATGTTAGAAGTAACTGTTCAATCTATTGTGACATTATCTACAACTAAAACTGAATACATGGCAGCAGTTGAAGCTACAAAAGAAGTTTTATGGCTTACTGAACTAGTGAAGGAATTGGGTGTTGCAAGGTGGAGTTCAGTTGCATTGTGACAGCCAAAGTGCTATTCATTTGGCTAAGAATCAGGTGTATCATGCTAGAACTAAACATATTGATGTGAGGTTTCACAAGATTAGAGAGTTGATTGCATCTGGAGAGATATTATTACAGGAAGATATGTTGACCAAGCCAGTTACTACTGACAAGTTCATGCATTGTTTGGACTTGTTGAATGTTTACAGTTGCTAGAGAAGCGTGGTAGCCCAACCCACTTTAATGTTTGGTAAACTCTCAGTTTTCTATTTCATCTTTTAAGGGGCAAGATATTCGTCAAGATGGAGAGTTGATAGGTATGACTCATATACCAGTTGGAGGATAGATGTTGGAGTGTAGTTTGGCGAAGTGAACGGAGTTATTTTGGTAATTGTACCAGGGTTGCTTTTATATTATATAATTGTAACCTAATTGTTAATCATTATTGCTAATAATAAGAAAATAGCCGTTCATCGCTCCCGAGGACGTAGACACCTTACCGAACTACGTTAAATCTTGTGTTCTTTATTATTTCCTATATTACTTTGCCTGATTTCCCAACAAACGATCTTAAATATGCTTTAATAGCACTAGTAAGTAAAACCCTGGTTTTAATGGCTAAAGCAAACAAAGTGGGATTCCCCATCAAACAAAACCCAAAGTCAAAACTCCCCCCGTCTTCAAAAGGAAAAAAAAAAAGGAGCAATAGTTTTTACACGTAAAAGCACACGTCTATTTCGTATTTAATTTGGATTGCACGAATGATTGCGAAATGGACGAGGCTACGTATTATTTTGTTTTGTTTTGCAATCTGGAAAACAATTGCCTTTCTGTTTAGCAGCAGTGTCATGTGCAATATATAATATCGTCCATACTAACTTTTGTACCGACAAATATAAAACTTGGATGTCATTCTCAGACTGATGACCGTCCTACCCTAAAGACTAGAGAAGCTCAAGCTCCCCTCGGTTCTTCCTCCACTTATACCCACAATTTACCAGATTTTTTTTAAAAAAAAAAAAAAACAGAGTACAATTTATATTAAATGTGATTACAAGAAGGTGCAAGTTGTGGTGAAAATGAAGTGGGGAAGCGGGTACACAACTCGCCATGTTATCGGGATCGAAAATCTTGCTGCTTTCAGTGGTGATGCTATTTGAGGGCTCAAAAACAAGAAACTATATAGAGTCGGGACGACTAATTGCCTGAATCAAACCATTACCCAATTTCAGCAGAGTACGTTTCGATCTGCTGACGATCCTTGATTATCCTTGCATGCATACCCGAGTTTTGTTTCTTCCTAATTGTCTTGCTTTATTATTCTCTGCCTGCAAGATATCTTCAATTTCAGAATTTGTCTGTTTATTATAACTTTTGTTTTTATTAAACTACTATTAAAACTTGGTTATATTGGATGGATTATTATTTGGTACAATATTAATGAAAAATAAAAATTAGTGTGGGTAACAGTTGACAAATTTTTTTAACCTAAAACGATACTGAATTTTATTAGGATAAAAGAAGATACAACCTTAATAATACAAGAGAAACTTTTAGAGACGGTGCCCATCAAAAAATTCAAACATAAAATAAAAATATAATCCAAAGGTGTAATAATACTCGAAATCTTTTTTTTTTTTGAATCTGAAGTCCATCATATATAGTAATCTAGTAATTGTTAATAGTATTCATTTATCTCAATCCAACTAGACACTTTAGAGATAATGAAGGAGTGACGAGTGAACTAAATCAAACTTACAAACTCCTTTACAAAATAGATCTGAATACATTTACAAATAATCACAAAAGATAATCTTATCATTGAATGATCGCCGATAATTACGAAACAGATACAAGCAACATGAGAATCTCCACACGATTGCATGTTTACTACAGAGATAGGCGAACAACATGCCATAAAGTAGAGGAAACATGCCACAATAGTAGAGTAAAACGTGTCGCAATAACATATAGTTAAAACATGTCAAAATGATAGACAGACATAAGCAAAATATGCGAAAAGTAATAAATCAAGTAAATAAATTTTTAATACAAATTAAAAAATTGAATAAAATTAACAAAGTTAAAGAGGGATTAAAATAAATAAATAAATTAACACTAATAATCAACTACCGGTATAAAAACTGATGTCGTCGGCGAGAAAATCAAAAGGAACAAAATAAAATAAGTTGCAGCCGTAGGGAATAAGAGAGAAAAAAGCTGGGGTTTTGTACAGTTGACGACATTTAAGTGTTGTTTGTCAAATTATTTTTTATTAATCGTGTATCAAAAATATATTTAAAAAAACAAACGATATAATATAATAATTTTAAACTTTTAAATTGATATTTTTAAAATTAATTAATTAGTTAATTTAATAGAGTCGATGATCTTAAAAACACAAACTTTCACCATGAACGGATTAACCTTTGTTCGTTTTATGAAGTGGTTACGTAAGAGAAATAGCTAGAAGTTTGGCGCTTTGAGCTTCGGGTTGTGGTTATTGGGCTTTCAGTTTGTTGAATGGAGTGGGTTGGTATTTTGGACAAAAACCCATTATGTGCTTCAATGAAGAAGAAGAAGCCCAAAACGTGTTTGATGATTTGATAGAAAAAGAGGCATTGACTTTGGAATTTGGAGTGTAGACTGATTCCAAGCACACCGGCCGAACATGCCTAGTTTTTCTCTTGCAAATTTGACCGTTTCGTATCAGCAGATGCCATTTGTTCTTGGAGTCTTCGTGATCTACCCTTTCTCGTCCTGTTTTTTGTCGTCATTAGTTTATTAGAGTTTTGAAAAGCTCTCACAATTTGCTCTTCCTTGTCTCTGCATCGTTGTACCCTGCTATTTCCTCGAGGACAAGATCAATGGCAACCAAAGAAGTGGATTCAGCGCTTCTCAAGCTAGAATCGGCGTGTTCCGATTTGAGAACACTCCTAAATCATCAGCTAAAATGGGAAAAGACTTGGAAGAGATGGAGAAGAAGTTTGATTCTATAGATGAAACTCTCTCAACAGCTGCAAAAAGAGTAGCACCTTTGCAGTCCCTGGCTATAGCTGCTAAGGCTCTTGATACCAGAACTAATAGAGCCGTCTCTCCGGCTCTTCATCTCCTCCACAGTTTCAAGCTTTCTGAATCTTTCCAGCACAAGCTCATTCAACTCTCCCACAAACTATCTATTGAGAAAAACCCAAGGAATAGACTTAAAAAGCTTCTCAAATACGTCCAATGTATCGATCAGCTTAACAAAGCTATTAACTTAATCAGTCTAGACGGTGAGCCGGTAATTCAAAAGCTTCAAGAGGTGGTGGAATTCTTGAGCAGAACAAAAGCCACTGATCAATATCGAACGGAAAGATTGAAGGAGACTTTAATAACACTTAGAGCTCTATATGAATCCGAGGTTGATGCTATGAAGTTTGATGGGTTGCTTGATGAGGCTTTGCTAAACCTACAGGACGAATTCGAGATTATGTTACAGCAAATGAAGCATCAAAAGATAGGGGAGCAACAAGCAGATGAAGATGCTGATCAACCAGTGCCAGTGGTTTCTGAACTTGGCACCAAAATGGAGGTAGAAATTCTTAGGCGAATTGCAGAAACCCTCGCTGCCAATGATTGTTTGGATATATGTATTGATATCTTCGTTAAGGTAAACAAAATATCTTGCTTTCAAAGAGTAGATCACGAAGTACGAGCTGACTTTTTTTTATTCTTTTAGGAGATTTACGATATATTATATCGAACACATTGCTTTAACCTAGAAACTTGATCAGATCGATTTATAATTCAACAGTGAGGAAGTGAAAGCTTAGTTGCCTTATAAATGGAGATAGACGAGCCCTACAATTTGTCACCCTTTTGTTTGATTAACAGGTGAGATACAGAAGAGCGGCCAAAGCGTTGATGCGACTAAACCCTGATTACTTAAGAACATACACTCCAGAAGAAATTGATGAAATGGGGTGGAAGAGTCTGGAGACAGCAATTTCTCTTTGGATCCAGCATTTCGAGCTTGCAGTCAAAACAGTCTTCCTATCAGAAAAGAAACTATGCAAGCAAGTTTTGGGAGGACTTCCCGAAGTGCTTATCTGGCTAGAGTGTTTCGTCAAGATTACAGATAAAATCATGGCGGTGTTTTTCCGTTTTGGAGAAGGTGTTGCAAGGAGTAACAGAGAGCCCCAGAAACTGTTCAAGCTCTTGGAAATGTTCGACTCCTTAGAAAAGCTGAAACTCGAATTCACAGAGATTTTCGAAGGTGAATCAGGAGCTGATATTTGCATACGTTTTAGGGAACTCGAAAAGCTACTCGTGCATGCTTCAAGCAAAGTATTTTGGGAGTTTGGCCTCCAAATAGAAGGCACTTCCGATGGTTTCACTCCACCACAAGATGGTTCAGTCCCGAAACTTGTGAGATATGCTGTCAATTACCTCAAGTACCTTACCACAGAGACATATAATGCACCCATGGCTAAAGTCTTACGAACAGAACAAATCTGGAAAGCTGGCATCTTATCGAAACCCGAAACTGATGAGAATTTACTCAAAGATGCCATCTCTAACATCATGGAAGCTCTTCAAAGACACATCGGATCAAAAAGTTCGGGTTACAAAGACAAAATCTTGCCCCACGTCTTTATCATGAACACATATTGGTATATTTATATGAGAAGCAGGAATACAGAACTTGGGAAGCTTTTAGGAGAGCAATACTTGAAACAGAAATACAAGAGCGTTGCAGAGGAGTCAGCTTACATGTATCAATGGCAAGCATGGGGACCATTAGTAAGTTTGTTAGAGAAGGAAGAATCAGAGCAAGACACCAAAGCTACAGCAGCTTATGTGAGAGGTAAACTGGAAGCATTTTTCAAATGCTTTGATGAGATCTCAAAAAGGCATGCAAGGGGTTATAGCATTCCTGACGCTGATTTAAGGGCACAATTAAGAGGAGCAACTGTGAAACTGGTGGTTCCTGTTTATAGTGAATTCTTGAATACACACTCAACGTTATTGTCTGGAAAGTCTTATGTTCCTCCTGAATCGTTGCAAGGATTGGTGGGTCAGGTTTTCAATGGAACTGATCGAACAGGAAATGGGAGGCTGAAGCGCCAAGATTCCAAGGACATAATGCCTGCGAGGAACTCGGTTTCCGGGGAAGGAGAGCTTAAGAATTCAAGACGATCTAGATCAAAATCCGTTGATGTATGAATCAATGATTGCTTATTACCTTCTCATGGTTTTGTTTTTCGTTCAAACTGTTGCATGAACGCTAATTAAGATTGCTTCCTTTTTCATAATACAGATATGTAACACAATAATGCAGTGCAACGCAAATTATATACTGGAATTTATGGAACATGCTCAAAGTGAAAATTAAACAAAACATGATTTTTTGGACAGATAAATCCTTATTGGCTCTTATTTTGAGAGGCCCAGGCCAAAGGTAAATAACATTGCACCGCACGCAATATTTACCTAGTTCCAACCAAAGTACGACGATGTTTTGTTTGCTTGCCTTAATTGCTGACAGAACAACGGTTTAGTTGGGAACTGTTATTGGAATCATTCCTTCTTCTCCAAGAATCTTCTCTTCTCCAATCAAACTCCTACTTACCGAACTTTCACCTCAAACACGGCCATCAAATTGTTCCCAGATAATGCAAAGTTTGTTTGGTCCTTTAACTATTATGGCTAATCCCAAAGACCGAGATGAGTCTTCATTTTCCTTCTCCGACTTCCCTGAAGACGTCCAGCTTTGCATCCTCTCCTTCCTTTCCCCGCCCGAGATCGCGAATTTCGCTTCCACCTCAAAACGCTTCGTTTCTCTATGTCGAAACGACACCAAGCTCTGGTTCACCCTTTGTCAACGTCGTGGGGCTCCAACACCCAGATCAATAAATGGGGTGGCGGTAAAATCACTTACAAGCTCCTTTACAGGACCCTAACCCAGTGGGACAATCTCATCGGCTTCTGGCGCCCTCTCGGTCGAGCCGCCCTCTCGGGTCAATGTCCTCGGTTGATCGTTTTCGAGTGGGGCCCATCGTTTGTTTCCGGTTCTAGGATTTGTCCTTACCAAAACGGCTCCTACCATGTTACCAAAGCGCCGTTCTTGTGGATGGGGATATCACCAAGATGGGCAAACCGTATACTTTCTCGATCCGAAGGGTCTAACTGAAATACCATCCGGAGATGTCGATAAATGGCTGGAACTTGTCTGCTTGGACCAAAATTTGGCGCAGTTGTAATAGCAAAGATGTGTTGAGAAAGAGTCCAAGTTCAAAGAATTTGATAGAAGCTAGTGATGAAGTTATAGAAAGTGGTACTGCGGGGAGCTTACCGGACCGATTTGTGTCGGAAATGTATTCGTGTTTCGCAAATAAAACGAGCCCCGTTGGGGATAGAGGGTGGAGGAAGCAGAGGAAGAAGGAAAAGGAAAGGCAAGGGATGAGGAAATGGGAGCCTGAGCATTTCGTTAAAGTTGTTGATTGCTCGCCTACTCAAGACCCCTGCAGGATCTTTGGAAGGTGCTGTGAAAGTAACTCGTTTTCTAATTTGTGTTTTATGTAAGTTAAGAACTTGTGTTTGTAAATTGTAATATATTGTTGTTGACTAATAGTGTTTTCTTTCATCTGCAAATGTGTTGTACAGTGGAATTGGAGTTATTGTCTGACTTGTAGGACTAGTAGGAAAATGGGAATGCTTGTAATGCTGCCTTCTAAAGTTTTTTTGCGAAGGTTTGCCATAGACTCGATAGTTGTATTTCAGTTCATTCAAGTTTTCTGTTCAAGCTTTCGTGTTACCATGGATTAAGCCTTGTCTTCTCTTTATCTCTTTCAAACAATGTGGAATGTTTTTGGCTGATGTTTTCAAATTTGCATGACATTTTGATAAGGTTATTCAAAGTACAAATATGAGAAAAAATGTGTTGGGAAATTGGTTGGTTCAGGGTGTAGACTGCAGTAGGAACCTTTGTGTTGTTTGACAAATATCATTTTTGTGGGATATCATCTGATTTTTAATTTCAGAATGAAGTAGGAGACTGAGACACTGCCCTTAGGCCCTAACCGTGATGTTCCAATTTGGTTTGCAATTTGCACTTGGTTAATATGATTCACAAATGCACTTGACTCGCATACTTTGGGTTTCTTACAGCTCATTGCTAATATGTGAGTATGGTACCACATGTTTTTCCTTTTTAACGAAAAAAACCACTAAAGTAACAGGTAAGACAAAATTATAACAAAGAGGTAACCGAGACCAAAATTGTACAATAAACAAAGAGAAAATTAGCCTATAACACATGGGGTAATGTTTATATTAAACATTTGCAAATAAAGCATCTAATGTGAAAACCGAAAAGGGTGAGGTTCGGCTTTAGCATCGTATCAGAAATAAAGCAAGCACATTGCATGACTTCAGAAAGGGGTCAATAAACATTAAATCAAGCTACAAGCCTGACCAACCAAATGAAAATGTAAAAGTCCATATCATTAAGCCGTTCACGTACAGTTGTCAACTCTTATTGACCAATCTTGCATAAATCTTTCTAAATATGCAGCTGTGTTTTCATTCCTGCATTAAAACAAGAATGGATCACGATCTACTGAAAACATAAACCGTAAACTGCAATAAAAGATTCGACTAACTTATCAACCAGTATTAATGAGAGAAAAGAACACTAATTTATCATTATCATTGAGCTGAACTCTGACCTTAAATCTCTTTCTACGTGTATCACTGGAAGCGAGCTGAGACACATGAGGTTCGCGCCTGGGAGCTTCAGATCTGTATTGTTCTGCTGCAGGTTCCTGCATTCTGCTGCTCTTGTCTTGATTTTGACTTCTTAAGTTTCGGAAAAACCCATCCTTGTCCCATGTAACCTCATAATCAGCACTTAACCGAGATCCTTGCTAATCAATAGTGAATAACATTGGATATTAGCAGGACTACTAATTATAGTTGTTAATGAATGAATATATATATGCAAATTTAAACTAAGCCCCAATCAACAAGCATTTGATTTAACCCATGCTAGCAAAATAACAGCACAGAAGTAGTATCTTTTGCATCACATCTGACAACACCATAGTATTCAGTCAATTAAATCAACCATGCAAAAATGTTTTACCCATTCCTTTCAGATGGTCCAATGCTGTTTCACTGGGGCCAGTGCAGTGGGAACGGCACTGGTTGCCCACTAAAAAGCATCCTTACACATAGGCATTGATAAGCTCTTATCGGGGTTGGAAGTAAACGACTAGTGGTGATGTGCCATTGAATTCATAGCAGAAAAAAAAATAAAAAATCAAGCCATGGTGCAAGGCTCGAGCAAAACGCTCCTCGTCTATAATAAGAAGAGAAAAATGCATACCTTTTGCAATGAGCGGCCACATAATACCCTGAGTGCATCATGGAAATCCCGGTATTTCTCGAACTGAACAACAATTTTACAATGAAGACCTGAAACAATGCCTATGTCTAAGTCATCCTCATCCATCCCCTTAGCAAGATCATCGTCCTCGGAAACATTAAGATTCCTATTGAGGGAAGGTAAAAGAGCACACAAAAACAGTGTAAAATTCAAATGGTAGCATTAACCATAACAGATGTAATCAAATATACATATAGAAATAAGCGGATCATGTAAAATTCAAATGGTAGAATTAACCATAACAGATGTAATCTAATATACATATAGCAATAAGCACACAGAACAATGATGGAACCATATGAAAAGTGTTAGGGGTACAGATATATGATACCGGTTTATTTCAAATTCACATGTCAATCTTCATAGGTGAGAGAAAATCTATGAGAATCTAATGCCAATGACTCATAAATATAAAACGATTAATGTAAGATGACAGCATTACCAATGACAAACATATTATTTTATACATGGCACTAAGTGCAGGTAACAATACCGCAACCACATGAAAAGTATTCGACAACAGAATTATGATATCAGTTTATCACCTATTCAATGTATTCATTAGTCTTCCTTGATAAGGTAAATTCTGAGCATCTACTGTCAATGACTTCCAAATACAAAAAGATTGTAAGAAAATAGGTTATTACCATAAGAAAATTATGCAATTAAACCCTACAAATCCCATCAATAGAAACAAGAGAGGCTAAACTTCTGATTTCTATTTATATCTTGCTAGCATACAGTCATCTATCTTAAGTTTCTAACTATGGTGCCAGTAGGCCTCAGGTCAGTGAAGGAAAGTAAAAGAACATTACGTTAACAAAAAATAAAAACAAAAACAAAAAGCCTTAACTCATAACTGATAGATAATATAAAATTTGCTCCACAAGACCAAAACATCAGGAAACCCACATTTTTGACAGACACGAATCACGACAGAGTTCCCACACATTCAACAACAAAGGCTTCACAAAATTTACCAGAATTCAGTGATAGCAAAAGAAAATGAAGCAAATAAAGGCAAAAGAGAAAGGAATTACCTTATCTTCCCAAATGTGGAAAAAATGGTATGGGTGACCAGCATTGAAGGCTTGGATGAAACTCTCGGCTCCGCAAACCATCGCGACGGAACCCCTCTCAATACAATCGTATCTGGATCGTGTCTTCCTCCCCTCGAGTAACCTACAAATAAAAACCCATTTGAAAAGAAAAAATCCCGATTTGACTTCAAATTCAAGAAAAAAAATGCACGCAAACCTCTATTTCGGAAAGCGTATAACTCCTCCCAATCTTTCTCCATCCTTTCAAAATCGTCCGAAACTGGAATTTCAACAACAAGGTTATACTTAACTCCTTCAAGATTAAGCTCAATCCCATCCATTTTCTCCACTACATAGCTTCTCCAATCCATAAACTTCTTTTCCAATTCCTTCACGTCATCTTCGGTCTCTTCACTCTTCTTCCTACTACTCAAAAACCGAAGGTCATGAATGAAGAGAGCGCCGTGGGCAACCGGCTCGTCTCGCTTCCGTTTCTTGAGGTCTTTGAGCCTTTTTATCTGGAGGTCTTCTTCGGGAACGGTAACGGGGACGGAGAGTGAGGACTTGAGGAAATCTATCAGGGCTCGCTTTAGCTGCCATTCATCGATTGGTTTCGACACCGATGGGAGGGCAGGGTGGATTGTGAGATTGAGTTTCACTCGCGGTACTAGTGACAAACCATTCTCGATTTCTAGGGTTTCCGTTGGCGGCAGTGTCCCTAACGGTCGCATTTTAAATCGAATAACCTTTCAAGTTTCCACCTTTCTCTGCAATTCCTTAGACGATTCTGGCTAGGGTTTAAAGGGAAAAGAAAATAAGCGAAACGCTGTCGTTTAGATCTTCAAGCCGCTGGACATGGCTTTGCTACGACGCAGAT